TGCGTTTATCAGCGCCCTGAGAAGGCCAAGCATTTTCAGTACCAATTGGCAGTGTGGAATGGACACACTAGCCACCTTGGTCGGGTTCGAGGCCCGCAAACAACCCTAACTGTTCGGTATTCCGACTTGTGGAGATCACACCACTAACATCTAATCACCTATCAGTCCAGCTAATCCCCATACCACCCAGATCCCTAATGTCCGAGTACATCGGGCACTCCGCAATTAAATGCRACAATTTTCCAACCMCGCCCCACAAAAACACCCCGACGTATCTGATAGGTGCCTATGATGCAAAAATGCATTCAGAGGCCCATGCCCCGTAAGGAGGAAACCCAGACTCAGACAAAATCTGAAGTCTGAGTTATCCTCAACGAACCCAACGTTCCGAATGCACTCGTACGTCACTCGGCCGTTAGGACTATTGTCCCAACGTTGTTGCCACCTACGTCTAACCCTATCATCTAGGAGCCTCTTGCTCCCTAGATGTCCCTCCCTCTCCACATCGTCGTCGGAAATCCAATCGTTCCGCAGCAATGACACACTCAAATCCCTTCTTAACCTGAATGCAACAGCACGCTATAAAACCTGCATCGCCTCCGTTGATAAGGTGCGACATACAGGCAAACAGACAAACAGAGTAATTTCCGGACAGCCAAGCTCCTCCAGCCGTTGTACCACTCGATCCCARCTTAGGTAGTCAAACGCCCCCTTGAAGTCAACAAATATGTCAAGGACATAATTGTTGACGTTCTCCCTAACGACATCCTTAACATAAAATCAAGCATCCTCTATACTGCGTCCTTTCCGAAACCCAAACTGCCTATCCGACCACATACCCCGCGTTAGCTCCTGAAGGACCGCTACTGATCTTATCGGGGGACTTCAGGAGAGGAACAACCCTAGCACTTTTCYACTCGCGCGGAAAGTATCCCTCCCAAACACACTTAWTATAAATGGCCTCCAGATGTTCCGGAATGAACTTCCACAAGCTTTTACACATCTCTCCGTTCAAACCATCAAAACCCGGGGACTGTTTAGACCTAATCAGGCCAAAGGCGTACCCCAGCTCCCCATCATYTAATGGAGGAACAGGCACCCCTTGTGCTCGAGGTACCTGCACCTCCCACCTGGAAGAACGCACCTAACAGAACCCGCGCACACTCTCCCCACGACGATAACAGAGTGTCATCGACACGAAGAGAGGTGACATCCTCCCTTCTACGACCCCTGCAGATCCTATAGACCTGACCCCAGGGGTCGTTCCTATTCACTCTCACAAAATTCCTTCAATCTTCCTCTTTAACTTTAACTAGCATCTCCTTATACTCCCTGTCCTCTAAGGTCAGTGAGGACCTTAAAACCCCAGGGGAGACCCCGAACCACATCATTGGTGGCGTAGGGCTCCTGGAGTAGAGCAATACCGCACCCACCCTCAACCATACAACCCCCCAACTCACACATCACGGCATAGGAGCCCTGACAGTTTAGTTGGATGATCCCACCCATTAGTGTCTGGCGAGGGMGCGCTCAACAAGACCACAATATATAGGGCAGGCAGCTGACATCATAAGATGCGCAGCTGGTCTACCCTTGAAYGCAGGCAAGCTCCAAAASCCCCTTCGCAGTCCCTACATCAAAATTCTTGGCCTCAAAGACCAGCTCATTGAGTTCCCCAATTATTCYTTCGGCAGYCGCAACATGGCTGACTGCCCCACCCCCAACAACAACAGCCCCCCCGTGAAAAATCCCGCGTTCCCTCTTTTTTGGAACTCGAGACGCGAGTGCCCGCTTCGCAGCGCCCTCCTTCCCGACGYCTTTGACCACAGCGCTACCCGGATGGGCTTTCACAGCGGCGGCGACGCTTCCGCTACCGCTCTCTCCCTCATTTCGCGAYGACCCCATGTGGCGCTGAGCCGAATCGCACCGTGTGCTAAACCGTTGGTCCTCACGGGAGTCGCAATCCCCAACGCTGGACAGACGCTTGCACCCTTTGGGCAATCCTGTCCAGATCTTCCAGACACTGAGCCAACTAAGTGCCAGATGCTCAGCACAGAACTACTGTCAGGCAGTCCAGTCAGCAAGAATGCCAACAACACTGTGCAAAGCTTCCGCCAATAAAAACAACGTGGATGACCACGTTGTCCGTATAATGATAAGTAATAATAAAATTACTTACCGGTATATGCAGTACACAAAAACACACAGAATTGCACAAAAATGTGTACCCGTAAAAAACACTCGCGGTTACTCACCCTCGCCACCCACGATCGCACTAACAAATACACCGCAAACGCGCCAGGCAATAACGGTGCCAGCTAAACTGCGTAAACAAACGACCGCACAAAAGGAAATCGCAAAAAAAGGAAATCACCGAAAAAGAACACTATGAAAATATCGCAACGATGCGCACGCACGTCTATCCGCGTCGACAGTCATCTAACGAATCGAGTGATAGAGGGAAAATATACCTCCAGTCTTTTGGACGTGTGTACGCTCCGATATMMTAACATAGGACAACTATCTTGCACGCCAACAAACACAATTAAGGCTCGACGTTGAGAAGCTGCAATCACAACAGATAGCCGAAACATTTTCTACTCGACTTGTACTCCTGCTTTCTGAGAGGAATCGTCAATAACTCGGTATAAGGGAACTGTGGGATGGAATTTCAAGCTCCTTACGTACAGCTGCTACCGAAACCATTGGTTTTCGGAAAATGCAAAAGAACAGCTGGTACGACGAGGAGTGCCGTGTTGCAACGGAGAGAAACCAGACTAAGCTGGCCGACAGGGGTAATGCTCGAAAATTCTACTGAGAGATACGGCAGCTAACTGATGTTTTCAAGACTGGAGCATCCTCTTGTAGAACCCCCAAAGGTGATATAATCCCCGATGCCCCGAACATACTTAAATTATGGAGGAAACACTTTTCCAGTCTGCTGAGTGGCAGTGAACGCACAACGCCAGGAGAAGGCGAACCCGACTCCTTAATCGATGACGATGGAGCAGACGTTCCATTGCCCGGCCATGAAGAAGTTCGAATAGCAATTACCCGGTCGAGCTATTCAAACACGGTGGCGAAGAACTGATAAGGAGCATGCATCAGCTTCTTTGCAAAATATGGTCGGACGAAAGCATGCCCAACGATTGGAATTTAAGTATGCTCTGCTCAATCCACAAAAAGGGAGACCCCACAATCTGCCTCCTTAACATCGCGTATAATTTTCTATCGAGCGTATTGTGTGAAAGATTAAAGCCCGCCGTCAACAAACTGATTGGATCTTGTCAGTGTGACTTTAGACCTGGAAAAACATAAAGTTTTTCAAATAACTTACATTTCCCAACATATATTTTAAGTAGAAATTAGTACGTACTACGTATACGAAATAAATAATAAAATGTGAATWAAACTTATTATTTTTGGGTATTCGGAAACGTTAACATTTCACAAATGTGAACTATCTTGGTTTTAATTAGTTCATGTTTTCGAGCGTGCGCTGTATACTTATTTCCATGCATATGTTATATTACACATACATATGTATATAACATACATATATAGTATATAGAGTGTGTGTCTATAAAAGTGTTCTGCCAAATTAACTTTCTTAAAAATCTATGCTTTCACCGCATTGTTTAGCTTTGGAAACAACTTTCAAACTATAAGGCTTGTTGTCAGTGTAAATGTAAACTGCCAACACGATTTTGTGTACCATATGCTGTCGACATACGTAAATTACCACAGGTAATAAATTAATGAAATAATGAAATGAAACACAAGACCCACTTAGAGTTTAATACATCAATATACATACATACATACATAAAATATACACTGGGGTGTTTCATTAACATTTTTTTATTCTTTCACGGACACATGAAAATTTTGTTTGTTATGCTGAAAACAAATCTCTGATAATTTGAGCTCCTAATTTTGMCTTTAACTACTTCTTTTTCGATTTTTCACGCTTTTGACATGTTATGGAAAAAATTGAGTAAGCGACTGGCTTTATCGAACAACTTATGTGAAAAAGTTGTAGGAAATTAAATTTTTTCAAAAATAGTATTTCCTCATACAGTATGAAATAATATTTAAGTTAAGCACAATTTAACGGCTAATAGGGGTAAAAATTGCAATTGAAGGGAGTTAGACTATTACCAGCCCACACCACTTCATTCAATTATATTTGGGATGATTGGTCAATTTAAATATTAGAAAATGTACTTGATACTGTCCACTTGTACCATAAAAGTATCACAAAGCGACTTGATCAAAAAATTTWACTATAATCTTTATTGTTTAAAATAGGTTTCAGACTATACCCATGTTGCTGTTCTTATAAAGCGTATTTAGATTACACAAACGAATGAAACATCTATGAATCTTTATTATTATAACTTGAAGCTTAGCTTTCATATCCTTACTTACTAGTAGAAAAAATACTCATACGCTTTATACGTATATATTCACGTTAGTACGAGGTGTGTTCAAAAAGTATTGCGAATTTTGTGTTTTTTCAAAAATTATTTATTTATTCATAATTGTCTATTTTGCCCCGTTCAAAGTAATCCTCATGAGATATTATACACTTGTGCCAACGGTTTTCCAATCTTCGAAGCACTTCAAAAAATCATTTTTTTTTATCTTCTTCAGATCCTCCTTCGATGCCGTCTTTATCTCGTCAAGAGAAGCGTAACGTCGTCCTTTCATGGGCCTCTTCAGTTGAGGGAACAAGAAAAAGTCACAGGGGGCTAGATCTTGGGATCTAGATCGGTGGCTGCGGCATCATTATTGTGTTGTTTTTGGCCAAAAAGTCGCGCACAAGCAACGATGTGTGTGCAGGGGCGTTATCGTCACAGTCAATATTCGGAGTGCATCCGCGTACTTAATTTCGTTTTTCACATAAAATTTGATACAGGTTCAATTAAATGAACGTTCAAAATGGCCGAGCTTATCGGCATAAGTGAGGGACATGAGTACCAACATAACGCCACAAAAAATTCGAAATTCGAATATACGTAACCCGCGAAAATCCATATAAAAGAATTAAAAAAATTGGTTTACTCGTAGCACAAGCACTTACCGGATCAGTAGATCGACGACGAGTACAAATAACATTTACATAAACTGATGAGGGCCCCAGAACTCCTTCCTTGTCCAATTCCACAGTTAGAGACAAATCTTTCGTGCTTGATATTATTTTGATTGGAGCATCTTTTTCGCGTAGAGATAAATCGATATCACCTCCTTCTATTTCGGGATTTCCATTTATTCGTAGCTTTCCAATAATAGCTCCCACTTCCAGATCTTCATTGGCGAGAAAGCTCTCTGCTGAACCGCCACCTTCAAGATAGCAACGTGAATCCAAGATAGCACCAGTCGTGGCTAAAATAATAATAAAAATTTACGTATTTTATATATTTAATATTTTAACTTCTTATCTCCAAGTGTGTTGCTAAAATACCTTCAATACATATGGTACTCGTTCTCTATGGTCATTACATTAATAAATTTAAAATTTATTAAAATAAAAACTGTAAAAACACTTAAAAGCTTAATTAAATAAAAAAACTAAAATAATATACACAAGCTTGCAGAAATCAAAGCTAGAGAAATACCTTAAGATGTAAAACGTCAACCRGATGGTCGGAATCTAYAAATTCGGTATAAGATTTGTTAGAAAAAGGAAAATCATTATGCGTWGTATTATCTATTTCGGCACAAAGATATAGTGTTACATATGAGTAAAAAACGTTTTGCAAACTTCTTGAAATAACTAAAATATAATACATATATGTATATGATACATCCAGTATAAAGTTAGCTGCGTTCGATAATCTTTATATTAGGTATATGGTGGCTCAGGGAAGTATTGACCCGATTCAGCTCATGTTTGATACACGGAGTTACCCTTGTCAGAAAAGGATTCTCTCAAATCCAATATTCCATACTGATATTTTCGGTCAAAAGCCAACTATAGTTTATGGGGTTTACATATTAGGTAGCTATGGGCATGAAAAGTTTTGGTTGGACTTGCTCAATTTTTGGTCATAAGGTGGCATACTTAAAAAGAAACAAGAAAAAACGTTAATTTCGGCTGCACCGAAGCTAATATACCCTTCAMAGGKACATTTATTTTGTAACTATGTGTCTAGTTTGTATGGAAGCTATATGCTATAGTAATCCGATCTGAACAATTTTGTCGGAGAACAATTTTGCCGATCTGATATTTCTTCCGATATCCAAATTTCGTAAAGATATATTGTCAAAGAAGGAAGCTTCCCACGCAAGTATTTGATTCCGATCATTCAGTTTGTATGTCAGCTATATGCTATAGTTAACCGATCTGAACAATTTCTTCGGAGAGTACATTGTTGTCTTAGAAAAAATTAGTTCGTATATACTTGTATGCAGACGGACACACGGACGGACGGGCGAACCGATAGGCAGACGAACGGACATGGCTAAATAAAGCTAATCAGCTCAACGTACAGATCATTTATATATATATAATACTTTACAGGGTCTCAGACGCTACCTTCTGGGTGTTACAAACTTCGTGACAAACTTAATACACCCTATTCAGGGTATAATTATTAGTGCAAAATTTTATGCTGCCACATTAATTACTCTTTGATTTCAGTACTAGAGGGTAAAATAATCAAATGGACATTAAATTTTTACATTGCGACAAAGTAATGTGAGAAGAATGCTACGTACTAAATTTTGTCGAAATCGGTCGGTCGGGTCCTGAGTGATTTCACCAAAAAGTGATCGGTACCACGTCCATCACTTAATTTTTATACCGACTCCAATAAAGCCCTTTCATACCATCTAGGAGGTAATATTTAATGTCTCTGGCGTATTTAGTTATTGCGCTTTTAGTAGTTTTGAACAGTACCGTTGTAAGGGGAGTGTGCGAGGTTATCTTCCGATTTCATAAATTTTCACACTGTCGGTAAAAAGTAAAATTTAGCCACGGCATGCATATGGAATGTCCGGTCCCTTAATTGGGAAGGTGCACATTCACAATCCAAAGCGAAGTTCTTCAAAATATCGCTGATGTGACGAAAGATGCCTYCTATGAGCGCACCTATGAGATGTCAAAATTGCTCTTGGCGACTTTAACGCCGGGGTATTCAAGGAAGGTATTCTTAGCACAACAGCCCCAAAAGGGTTGATTGTCGTGATAGAGGGAAGATAAATCTCCAGTGTTTTGGATGTGCGCACTATCTTGTTGAAGCCAAGATACGCAACCGCCTCTGCGCAGCAAAACGCACGCCATCAAAAACAAGGAAGGTTCGACGTCGAGAAGCTGCAATCACAACAGACAGCCGAAMGATTTTGTATTCGAAGTCCTGCTGTCTGGGACGGGATTTCAAAGCTCTTTGMGGGATGCGATAGATACCGAGAGTTGAAGAGGGAAGCGAGACCCATTTGCAGACAGAAAAAGTGAGGAAGAAATGTGTGAGTATGAAGAGCTTGGCAAACTGACCGACAGATGTAATTGCAAAATTCTACGAAAAAATGCGACGACTAGCAGAAGGTYTTAAGACTGGAGCATACTCTTGTAGAACCCCCAGAGTTGATTTATTAACCGATGTCCAGAGCATACTAAAACTATGGAGGGGACACTTCTCCAGCATGCGGAAAAGCAGTTACCTGTCTGAAGAACAAAAAGCAGTGGACCGATGGATTGCCGGMCGAGYTATTCAAACATGGCGGCAAAGAGCTTATAAGGAGAATGCATCAGCTTCTTTGAAAAATATGGTCGGACGAAGCCATACCCAACGATTTTAATTTAAGTTTTCTCTGCCCAATCCACAAAAATGGGAACCCCATAATATCGAGATTTTTGTGTGAAAGATTAAAGCCCACTATCAACAAACTGATTGRACYTTATCAGTGTTGGTTTACACCTGGAAAATCAACAACCGAGCAGATATTCAGGATCCGGAAAAACCTCTCCGAGCCGTTCGATACCAAACGAGCTTTCAGACAAGGCGACTCTCTGTCGTGCAACTTCTTCAGTCTGCTGCTGCAGAAAATACTAAAATAGAGAAGGTACCATCTTTTATAAGAGTGTACAGCTGCATGCGTATGCCGATGATGTGATTGATATCATTGGCCTCAACACCCGCGCTTATAGTTCTGCTATCTCCAGAATAGATAAGGAAGCAAAGCAAATGGGTCTCACAGTGAACGAGGTAAGACGAAATAGCTCCTCTCATCAAACAAACAGTTGTCGCAMTCRCGACTAGGCACCCACGTCACTGTGGACAGTCCTAACTTGTTGTAGATAATTTCGTCTATTTTTGAACAAGCATTCATAGAAACAACAATGTCAGCCTCGAAATCCAACGCAGAATAGCTCTTGCCAACAGGTGCTTTGAATAGAGTAGGAAATTAAAAAGTAAAGTCCTCTCTCGACAAACGAAAACGAAACTCTATAACTCGCTCATTATTTCCGTCCTGCTATATGGTGCAGAGRCATGGACGATGACAGCATCTGATGAGTCGAGTTCTGCGAAAGATGTATGGTCCTCTGCGTGTTGGCCACGGCGAATATCGCATTCGATGGATGAGCTATATGAGATATACGACGACATTGACATAGTTCAGCGAAGCGAGAAGTATTCGACGCAGAACCTCCGGGGGAAGCAGAGGAAGAGGAAGACCTCCACTCCGTTGGAAAGAACAGGTGGAGAAGGACCTGGCTTCGCTTGGAATTTCCAATTGGYGCCACGTTGTGAAAAGAAGAAACGACTGTYACGCTGTTGTTAACTCGGCTATAATCGCGTTAGCGGTGTCTACGTCAGTAAAGAAGCAGAAGATTTAGTCATATAATTCAAATCTTATATATTGTGAGAATGTGCTGCCGATCGTTAACCGATGAACGCAAACTTTACCTCCCTTAACTCAAACTTTTTGTCATTAATTTATATTGTAATATAATTACAATTTGTCATAGTATAAAATATCAAAACTGAAAACAAACTATTAAAAATAGTTTATATTTTATTCGACTCTGATTTTGAGTTAGTTTAAGAAAATTTCAAACATATTGAAGACAACTTTTATAATTACTACAGTATATTGAGATTGGCAACAATGCGTGGTGAGAGAGCAATCAGCTAAACGTCAGCTGACACGTTTCTACGGCAAAAATCCTAATGCCGTGGAAATCTACGGCATCCTACGGCAAAGCGGAAGGGAGAGCGGTGTTGGCTGGTCATTTACATTGCGCTCCCATAAGATAGGTCGTATCAGCTGACACGGGCCACGGCTTTACGTTTATCGCTGTTCCTACTATTACGTTGTTCTCTGATCACGCTATTACTAACTGAAAGCAAATCTTCACATTCGCATTTCAGAAACTAAAGACATTAGAAGAGAGGTTAAAATGGTTTACCAAGGCTTGTTTCTGACCAATTGCAAATGTACTGATTCGAAACTCGCTTACGATATGCTCTACTAAGCATGTGCATTTATTTAAAACTTCATGCAACTTTCACGATTTGAACAAGAAGACAATTGCACGACATCGAAATTTTCTTGTCTGCAAATGTCGTCTTGAAGCCAGCTTCATTGTTGCCGTACTAAAACTATTCACTTGAATGAAATTTAAATATTTTRTTGAAAGTGAAATTTTATGTACAAAAAAAAAAGGTCGATTCATTTGTTTTAAATCATCGATTGTTATTACAAATGATACATATATCAGAGCTTTCTCTGCTTCTGTTGGTAAAATAACGTCAGACTTGTTGGCAACTCCACAGCTTCTCATTGCTTTCGTCAAAAATAGAAATAGTTTTAATTTAGCTACGATGACAATTGGAAGCCATAAGAACGTGTATATTGTAATATTCGACATATAATACGGGGGACCCTCTTGCTCTTGCAAGATTGCCCGATGACACAAAATGCGAAAATCCTATACCGAAATATGCAAGGACAAAAGAGTGCCCATTGCAGAATCTAGTAATATATGAACGGCTGATTCGGTCAAATTATTAATAATGACTATTGTGAATTGGCTCACATTCTGTATTCATTCTTAACAAAAAACTGTAAGGTTATCTTTATAATTTAAGTAGAATTATAAAATATATTTAAAACTTACCTTCCTCAACAATTTAACGGCGTAATATGTCTTTATGTCAAATGACAACTGCAAATATATTTTTGCTTGTCATTGTACGGAAATAAACAAGGGGTTTTTTCTGACATATTTTACAACCATTGCAAACAATTTTCTGCATGTTTTTGTTGTTGTGTCGCTGCACGCAGTGAAAAATTCTTAAATTTGTGCAGCGTGCAAGGGTTTTGCAAGAGCAAGAGAATACCCCTAATATGTTTTCTGTCTCTTGTCATCAGCTTAGAAT